CGGGGGGCCGGGAAGCAGAGCTGGCTGGGGCAGGGAGAGGTGCAGCGGCGCTGGCTGGGGGAGATCAGGAAGAGGAATGGGCTGGCGGGAAGCAAAGCTGGGAAGGGTGCAGGGGGTCTGGCCAGGGAAGATCAGGAGGGGAAGTGAGGGAGAACCAGCTGGTCGGGAGAGGGGGGAGGTGAGCAACTTGGCCGGCGGGGAGTGGGACTGACCTGGGCACTTGCTGCCTGTCCTGCGCAGGCTCCCAGCGACGCACGAGCGAGGAGGAGGCTTCCCCTCCTCCTCACACTCAACCAATTGAGGGCTCCTGGCAGCAATCGCAGCGCAGCTGGGACTCCCAGCCACTCTCCCACCAATGCCAGGCTTCCGTCTGGTGCGTAGCCAGAAAAATCAGAAAATACCAGACATTGCACATTTTCAGTATTTTCTGATTTTTTTTACCGGCCAGAGCACGCAAATACTGGACTGTCTGGTACAATACCGGACACCTGGCAAGCCTAGCTGAGAGGACCGGGGCTGGTGCGGCTCCAGCTCTGTCCTCCACAGGGCTGGCATGGCCCCCAGCCCTCCCCTCCCTGCATCCAGGGGTGGAGGCCAAGAGGCCGGGGCTAGCGTGGCCTTGGCCTTCTCCTCCACAGCAGTAGGGGGGCGGAGAGGAGGGCATAGCTGAGAGGCCGGGGCTGGCATGGCCCTGGCCCTCCCTAGCAGCCGGGGGAGAACTTGGCTTGCCTATCCCCAAGGACAAGGGAGCATAGTGAGCAGGGGGCATAGCCCCCTATTTTATTTTAAACAAAAAATGCTGAACAGATATTCTGTATATATCTATACCGGGGTAAGGAAACTTTTTTTGGATCAGGGGTTGCTAACCCACAGAAAAATCAGTTGGGGGCCTCGCACAAGTGAGAAGCAAAGTGAGACACCGCTGACTGAGAAGGAAAAAGGCACTCCTCACATTCCCCTTGCACACCAGAGCCTAAGGGGTTCCAGGCTAGTAGATTTTATGTGCTCCAGCCCTGTGGGTGGGTGGCAGAGGGCTAGAACAATAGCGTGAGCTTCCCATTGTGTTTATGTGGGGGATCCCTGAGCTTTGTGGGCCAGATCCAGGCAAGCCAGGGGCCACAGCTGGCCCCCGGCCCTGAGGTTCGCCTCCGCTGATATACACCATTGAAGGCGGCCTATTTAGACTAGGCTAAGATTTTCAAAGCTGCCTAAGAGATTTGCAGGACCAAGTTGCAAGGATTTACAATCAATAGGATCTGATACACAAATCTCCTGGGTGGCTTGGAAATTTTTAACCTTAGATGACTCAGTTTATTCAACTTGAGCAACAGGTCAGAAGCAATTTTATAAACCAGAGAATATTTTTGCTTCAGCTGACTGACCTGACATTTGTATATATTTTTCTTGATGTGCAAATGTGTTCACTACAACATACTCTATATACTTTTAATAATTAGCTACTATAGCTATCTACTATATATCTGAGTTTGTGAGTGACCAAGTCTGTTTGTCTATTCATCTGAGAACTGCTCCTAAATAGTAAGAGGTAGGACCACCAAACTTGGTCTGCAGCTTTCTCTAATAACTTAAAGATAAGGGTTTGGTTGTGTAGGGGGAGGAGCTGACACTCCACGTCCCCACATGCAGAAAAGAGACAGAATCACCAGGCAAGTGAAAGGGGCTGGTGGGGAAGGGGATGACCCCTTAGTCCATCCATGACTACCTCAGCTCTGAGCTTCACATCCTCAGGCACCCGTAAGGAGGGTGGGGGGCAGAAGCAACTCTCCCATTCATACAGGAACATTGCTGGCTGTTCCCCTTCTTCAAGGAGGGGAAAGTGCACTGTTTGCACCATTCCTCAATGTGGCTGGGGAGTTGCAGGGGGCAGATGAACTTGGACCTGCTGCAGCTGGTGGACATGCACCCCCTTCCCCAGCTGTGCCCATGAAAGCATGGAGCTGCAGTGGGCATGGAGAGGCACTTCTCGCCTGGCCCCAAGTTGCTGTGGTGAGTGAGGGCTGGGATAGTCCTCTCTCCTGAGGGG